GGAGAAAAAGACTTTTAAAAAGAGATTAATTTTCCGAAAATGACTGGAAGAATAAAAGGGCAAGATTTTTCAGACTTTTCATGAAGAAACATCAAGCTAAACATGAATTTAAGTGCCAACTAATACACCAAATTCAAAGAAAAGTACTTCTACATGAACTAATTAATGCAATCAATCTGCCTTACAGCCCTTTTTCATTGTGAACTGCAAACTTGTTCCTGTGATGCTACATGTCTTCCACATGAAAATTGACCGTCCGCTCTCCAACAGACTCCCTTCTCGGTCAAAATTGAAAATCCTTCTACTCTGTCCAAACTTCAAGGATCTTATTTTCACTAGTAAGGCCCATCTCTGACTCCTTGTTTTTTTTCCAAACTTCCCCAGGTCCTGTCTATTCTGTTCCCATTCTTCCCACTTCCCCACTCACCATGGCAACAAGATCATAACGGTATGTCTTCAAGCAGAGATCATTGATTTAACCATACCTTTTCAGAACTTAAAAGAAACACCACCATCTTAGTCAGCATTCGTGGCACTTAGCAGTGTAATAACAAGCACTACAAATTAGGAATGCTGATTGCAAAATCAGTTCCTGGATAGTTCATCAGTTTTGTTTTGCAATAAAATGGAACTAGATGGTGTAATGACCACTATCTGCTGATTTTAATCTGTTTGGAAAGATTACCTCATTTTAATGTAGCAAGGCAGCTATTACATTTTAATGTTTTAATAGGGAACAATTCTTGTTAAAATTTGAAACATTCCTTGTTAATTTCAGTAACCATCTCTTGAAGGTTACTGAATGCTGTTTTGTCAGCTTGACTGAATTTTGGCAACTGATGAACATCAGTAGAGCAGTGGTCAGGTAAAAGATGAGATCTACAGTCCCAGAAAAAGGGCAGGTATAATTCTGATAATGAGAAACCTTCACATCCTGATGCTTCATTCTGAATTCATGAGAACATGAAAATTGCCAACATATCAACTATGAATACATCCCTTCCATTCCTTGTTGGTAATGCCTCCTGAAGGATTACAGTTCCATGGGCCCCAAGCAACTTCTGATTATATCCTTGAGATGGCCATTGATTGTATACCTGTAGATATTTTCAATCTGGTCAACCATGTTATGACACACGTCTGGAGCAGGTGGGACTTTGAACCCAGATCTTCTGGCCCAGATGTAGGGACATGACTACCTACAAGTTGGCTTATTGATCTCGGTGGGGTAGTCTCGGCTGGGCCTAATTCTGCTGTTGCCCATCCATTGGGGCAAGTGGCGTTTGTGGTAACTCCACAATACCAAGGTCAGTTGTAGCATGTACTCTGTACTATGGCTGCAAGCAGGCAACTCACTGCTCAAACAAGGATCAAAGTTGGGATGTCCCTGATCTAACTTAGTCCCATATATGGGAAGTAGTGATATCACTGGACTAGAAATCCAGAAGCACCGTTATGACTAGAAGAGCTGATTGGCTTCTCTTTTTAGTGCCTCTTTCTCAGTCATTTGCAACAATTTTAAAAATTATCTCTACCTGCAATTAAACCAGTTTAAAAATAAGGGATAGCCAATTCTGAGGTTCTCTCAAATAAAAGGGACTGGTGTTTTATTACCAATGAAATCTGAGGAGAAATAAGAAAATACACCATCAAACACATGCATTGACGCAGGTAATGAGCTGACAAAGAAGGGATTGGGGTATCTAATGCAGACAGGAAGGTAAAGGCATTTGCAGTTTAAAGGCTATAGACAGTGTTTGAGTTGCCTAAGTCCAACTGTTTAGCTGCTGACTTGTTGCCTCTGATGATGAAGCTGCAGATATCCAGATACTCTAAATTGGTTTTCATGACCTAGTTTCTGTGCAAGCTCTTTTTCCTTCTCAAGCAGTATCCTTGCTATTATCAGTCTGTTTTGCTCTCTCATTTGCTCTCCCTTTCTGCTCAAAGGCTACTGTTGATATAAAGTTCCCTTGTAGATTTTGGTATCTATTTCATTTCATGCTGGATAGGCAACCTTTTATCTCTCAATTTGTGGAGCTATCGTGCAAGAGTAAGTAAAACGATCACTGCAAATTTCTTGACGCCAGAGTTTCAGTGCTTCTTGATTAAAATGGTAATTCTGATGCAGCTGGTTTCATACATTCCATGTGGATTGCCTTAGCTTGCCAGCTGACAGTAGTTATTTTAGGTCAGCCTTTTTTTTAAACATTTCAATTTCTTTTTATTCTGTCAAAGACCAATGATGAAAGTTATACATAAGACGGTCCATTTTCACTATGACTGAAATAGTAGGTTACTGTTCTGCCCTCCTGATACGTGGCCTGGCGAGCCACTCCATTCAGGGACAATTAGGGATGGATGATAAATGCTGGCTTTGGCAGTGATACCCGTATGCCACGAAAGAATAAAGAAAAATGACTTGGACATTGCTGTCTTACTAGATAAATGTGCATCTAAATGATCACAATGGGGCCTGATGGTAGACTCATAGCAAGTTTAAATCCTTGCCCTATAACTTGGTGCATATGTCCAGTTGTACAAATAAGATCAGTGTCGAAGTTAAGGTGGAAGTGTTCCCTTTTGCCCACAAAACACTTTGTGCAAAACCCTACATTAAGCCATTTAGTAATTTTTAATCTCTTGGAATTGTTATTTTTCTGCATGAAGTTGGACTTCCCAACCAGTTGGCAACTTCATAATTGTCTTAATTTAATCAATTTATTCTGAGAAAGGAACTTCTGTATTTTTAATGATCTTGTTGGATGTGTTATACCAGATTGTCTCAGTTCCTGAAAAGTTGGTTTCAACCTGCTGCACGACATCCTCTTAGAGGGTTTACTCAAAAATGCAGCTGTGTTGTAGAAAGGAAAACTTTAAATTGTTGGATTTTGGATTTTGCATTTTTTTTTTAAAAATCAGTGATGCAGGGAAGAGTATGTCAAACAGGGCTACCCAAAAACTGGGCACTACTTTCACATCCACTATTAATTGAATGAAATCAAAGGATGAAGTATTTACCTAGATAATTTAGCTAGACATTGCATTGGTACAGTCTCTATCCAAAATAGAATACTGGCTTTACCCTTCTGTGCTGTGTGACCTTTTGACCTCAAGCTTGGCTTGGCTTGACTTGAACTAGCCTTGGCCCAAACCCTTGACCTGAAATCTGGAAAGATTCAAAATGCAGCAGGGCCTTAATCCTGAGGGTGCCAGATTTGTGGTGCTGTACCTGTAGATGAAGGTTGAAATTGTGACTTTTTTTATATATAACTTACATAGACGCCAACCCCAGATGCTGACTTCTAGTTAACCTCCTGTCTGGTTGAGCCCTAAAAGCAGTGGTGCAATTAACAGGGATATTTTGATTCAAATTGATTTTAAGTACTTGTGGGATTTTATTAAATGAAAACCGTTTAAATCCAGGTAACTGCAGAATTAAAGCAGTTACAGGAAACATAGAACATAGAACATTACAGTGCAATACAGGCCCTTCGGCCCTCGATGGTTTCACAGGTCGGCGCAACAATCTGAAGCCCATCTAACCTAAACTATTCCATTATCATCCATATATTTATCCAATGACCATTTAAATGCCCTTAAAGTTGGCGAGTCTACTACTTTTGCAGGCAGGGCATTCCACGCCCTTATTAATCTGAGTAAAGAACCTACTTCTGACATCTGTCCTATATCTATCACCCCTCAATTTAAAGCTATGGAGTAACAAATTAAGTCAGCGTGTCTTTTGGTGGTTTCAACGTTTTTTTCAGACTATTTCTAATAATATATTGTTTAAAAATAACTAAAAGCTATATATATGTTCTTAGAACATTTCTTTAAATTTCAAACATCAGTCATTGGTTAATTATTCTTTTTTTTTCCCCAGAATTAAAAATCATTATTCACTAATTTTTCTGGGTAATTGGGAAACTTCATTGTAGTGTTCTTGCAAGTGTTTTAAGATATACGCTTTTACTTCGTCTTAATAAGGAGCACAATTTACCATTGACCTGAAATTGGAATGATGTACATGTTTTAATATAAATTTCCAACGGGTATGTAATACGTGTTACGTCAGGGAGATTGGAGAGGCTGATGTGAGATGGAAGTTTCATGTCTGAGTATTGTGGCTTTTATGTTGCTCTGGGCTAGTAGTGAATTTTTATGCATTGCTCAAGGCCTTTTACAGGGTAGGGATAGAATGATCCTCTGTTTTGTTTTAATATTCGTGAAGAGATTAAAAGCTCATCACAATACCATCTTCTCAGCTCGTCCCACAAGTATTGCACTGATCTTGTATGTTTCTGATGCTCTAAGTATGTACTAAACTACAATGGGTTATGGATTTTTATTTCAAAATATAATTTATTCATCAAGATACTTTTGTGCTACTGTACTGTGAGCACATAAAGGAAACACCGACATTGGAGTTTGACTCTAAGCAAACAAATCAAAGGCATCTCTTACTTGAATCAGACTATATTTATATGCATTTGAGGCTCCAGAAGGCCCAGTAACTGGACGGACTCCCACTTGACTTCAGGAAGACCTCAGACAGTGGTCTTTCCCCACTGCGCCTTGGCGGCAGCAGCCCCAAATTTTAGTGCATCCCTTGGCACGTAGTCCTGGAGCTTTGTAGACTGGCACATTCCAACGCTTGGTTGAGGTCAACTCCTTGCTCTGGAAGACCAACACATTTCGGGCAGACCGAAGAACTTCCTTCACAAAGTGACTGCGGCTGGAGGACTATCAAATGTTTGTTAGGGATGCTCCATTGCTATAATAATGCTCACCTTTTTAACTGCTGACTCAGGCTCCTTCTGGGATGCCAAGAACTCTTGAGTTCCCTTTTAGCCACTGCTTTATCTAAAAGTAGACATTGCAAGGAGAATGTGTTTTGTTTGTGCTTTCCACAGGCAACCACACCATTAAAAGAACAAATGTTTTTTTATATAACAATAAAGTCCATCTGATTGTTTGTTTGGTGTTCTGTTTTCCTGCAGATTGCTCAGAAATATGATCTTCAGAAGGAGGAAGATCTGCGACTCTGGATCGAGGGGATGACTGGGAAGCAGATTGGGGACAACTTTCAGAAAGGCCTGAAGGACGGTGTAATCCTTTGCGAGTGAGTACAATGCCCTTTCCCCACTTTGATTTGTCAGTAAGTTAGAAATTGGCAAAATATTAATTTGTTTGGCACAGGACTAATGAGATACAGTAAGATTAATTGCTGCAATATAATTTGGAGTAGGCTGACATTTTGATCGAGTTGTCACTTGTAAATAGGTGGAAAGGCAAGTTGCAAGAAGATTACAATCGGGTTAAGCAAATGGGCAAAAGGTTGGCAAATGGAGTATAATGTGGGAAAATGTGAAGTTGTTCATTTTTGAAGGGAGAACAAAAAAGCTATAAAATGCAGAAAACTGTAACGTGAGGGACTTGTGCATGAAATGCACAATGCTAGCACATGGGTGTGGCAGGTAATCGGGAAGGCTAATGAAATGTTGGCCCATAACTCAAGGGAGTTGGAGTATGAGTAGGGAAGCCTTGTTGCCAACTGTACAAGGTGTTGGTGAGACCATGTCTAGAGTACTGTAAGCAGCTTTGGTCCCCTTATTGAAGGAAACATATTATTTCAATGCAAGTATTTCAGAGAAGGATGATTCCTGATACGGAGGGATTGTCTTGTGAGCAAAGGTTAAATAAATTGGGGCTGCATTCACTGAAATTTAGAGGAATGAGACCTGTTCTCGTTGAAACATATAGGACTCAAGGGGCTTGACAGGGTGAATGCTGAGAAGATGTTTCTCTACTTAGGAGAGTCTAGGACCAGAAGGCGTAGTCTCAGGATTAAGGGGTTCAAATTTGAGACTGGTAAGGGGGAATTTCTGAGTGTTGAGTCTCTTTGCATCTCCTTGTCACAGAGCTGTGGGGACAGAGTCCTTGTGTGTATTTAAGGCTGAGATAGACAGGTTCTTGATCAGTAGTGGAATCAAGGGTTAGAGGGAAAGGGTAGGAAGGTGGATGTGAGGAGTGACAGATCAGCCATGATCCTATTGAATAGCAGAACCAGCTCGAGGAGACGAATGGCATACTCCTTATGATCTTATAACAACATGCCATTTCCTTGCTCACTTAGCCAGTCAATTAATTTCTGTCACCCCATTGTTCTAATGATTGATTTAGTACATTTTTGTTGTGAGATTATGATGCAGATAAAACAAGCTGAAGTTAACAGAGAAACCTCTCTACGTATCTTTTTTTTTTATTTGATCAACAGATGTGAGGACTGGATTTCAAATGTTTTTCCTCTTTAGGACTCTACCAGCAGCTTGCACTTCAGGTCATACGCGGGCTATGGCCTCGTGATGTTATCACTAGAGTATTAATCCAGAGTACTGTCTAGGTCATGACCTGGGGATCAGGGTTAGAATCCCACCATGTAACTTGATGGAAGCTAAATTCAATATTAAAAAAAATCTGGAACTAAGAATCTAATGATGACCACGAATCCATTGTCGATTGTTGGAAAAACCCAACTGGTTCTCTAGAGAAGGAAATTGCCATCCTTACCTGGTCTGGCTTAAATATAACTCCAGACAGTCTGGACCAATGGTCAATAAATGCTGGCCTAACCAGTGTCACCCCCATCCCCGTGACTGAATTAAAAAAAGAATTAAATTGTGCCCCAAGGGTGTGAGATACAGATCAGAACTTGTTCTGTACTATGCTGATATTGCAAATCACTTCCAACCCCAATATCTGGTTTGTCCACCAGATATTCCCACACCAGCCCTGTTGTGGTTTCTGAGTTAGTTTGCCAAGTTAAGGACAGTTCTGCCTGTACTTGTTCGAAGCTGTATTAAGTTGTCTGAAGCTCATTATTATTGAGATCCTTACAGTTAACAGAGTCCATCATTTTGGTTTGCGTGCATTAACCCACCATCGGAGATAAGGTAGGGGGCTGGACAGGATGCTGTTTGTAGGGTCAATGCAGACTTGGGCCAAATGGCTGCTTTTGTTATGGTAGTGATTCTATTCTATGATTCTAAAATATCTTGTAAGCTTTGTCAAGTGAAACTCAAATCTTTAACATGTTTCATATTTTGACCAAGTTTGCAGAAAATGCCTTTAGGGGAGGTGATGGCCTAGTGGTATTATTGCTAGACTGTTAATCCAGTTTGAATCCTGCCACAGCAGATGGTGGAATTTGAATTTGATTTTTTTTTTAAACAATGGAATCAAGAGTCTAATGCCATTGTCAATTGTCGGAAAAACCCATCTGGTTCACTAATGTCCTTTAGGGAAGAAAACTGCAATCCTTACCTGGCCTGGCCTACATGTGATTCCACACCCACGGCAATGTGGTTGACTCTGAACCGCCCTCTGGACAATTAGGGATGGGAAATAAATGCTACCTGGACATCGATCCCCCTCATCCCATGAATGAATTTTTAAAAAATGGAGTAGCTTTCTGTTAAAAGAATGAGCCTACGGCTAATATCCTGATATGTCTGGACCTCTGATGCATTGGACCTTGAGAGGCAGTGTTAGTGTTACTGAGCCTCTACTAAGAGGTACTGTGGAAGGCTGACAAGGGAGGGGAATATGTGTCTGGTGGTGGAAATGTTGGCTAATGGTCCTCTGGATGTGGATGTTGGTGGGATGGTAGGTAAGGACAAGGGTGACCCTATCGCTGATGTGGGAGCGAAGGCAGGTTGTGAGGACTGAAGTGTGGGAGATGGGTTGGACCTGGTCAATGGCCCTGTCAACTACGATGCTGGAGAATCCTTGGATGAGGAAGATTGAGCCCCAGACTGAGTTCCTGGTTTTGGTTATATCACTGTAGGCAGAGCTGAGTGAAGTCAGGCACCTCTCTACAGGAGCAGACAAAAAAGCAGGACAGCCTTTAACTCACCAGGTCCCTTCTACCTGGGTGGCTGGTTGCCTTAGTTCATTGGAAGTGATTTTTGCCTGAATCAAAGTTGACTTTCGAGAGCTCTTCAATTGTAGAAGCACTGTATCTGATCCTGGTCCTGCTCTGAACTGAATACTGAACAGGACACGTGATTAGAAAGAGCACTCGGAACGTGGATGATATTTTCCCCCCTCCCCCTTTCCTAGTCAGGGAGGGGGCACTGAGTTGAATTGTGGCACTTCAGCATCTGTTCGGATCACAGCCACCCACTGAACGTGTGCACCATTACAACAGGTGGAATCATTGTAAAACATGAATTTTTAACCCCTTCAGAACCTCTCTCGTACAATTAGACAGAATTGAACTGCTTCACATGTAAACCTCATAATATGGTGATGAAAACGCAGTATCGTGTAACCTGGGGTTGTTGGGTGGTTCTGGTGTGAGACTGTGTACACCATGGGGCATGGGTTCAGTACTGTCCACAGTACAATAACATTGTGATTCATAGTTTCCAGGGTCTGTGCTGAGCCCTCCTTTATATGTCCCAATATATACAGTATGTTAGATTGACAGTGAGGAGTGTCTGAGTGAGATTGCCTGGTGTGTGACTGAGCCATGCAAGCCACAAGGCTGGATACTTGATACAATGGGTCTTTGCGCCCCCTGAACGTGGAGAGTAGATTTTTGTTACAGCCATCTGCCTCATTTTTCTCATTAACCGTTTTTTAATTGAACTGTCTCTTTCCTTTCTTCCAACCCAAACCATTCTTCCTTTGTAACAATTTTCATCAAATTTCAGATTTATTCCAACTAACCTCATATCCCTAATATAATAAACTACCAAAGTAACCCAATCTTCTGGATGCTGGAGATCAGTACAAACAGTGTTGCAAGAACTCCGTATGTGAAGTGAGTAACAGTTAATGTTTCAATTTCTGCAGAGAGGTCATGCTGCACTTGCATCCCCCTGCTGCGGGAGGGTTTTGAGGAAGACAGATCAGCTGTTGGTTGAACAGTGCTGTGAACTTTTATGTCCACTTGAGACAGTAGATGAAGCCAATTGCTTTGACAACTCATCTGAAAGGCAGCACCTCCAACGAAGCAGTATATTCCCTCAGCAATGCATTGAATGTTCATCCTACAGTAAAGCTTATTCTAATAATCTTCCGACTCTGAGCATGCTGAGAGATCTGCAAACCAGTGTATTCTTTGGAACAAAATAAACTTTAACTTTTCAGTAGATGTAGGTCAGTGGTCCTGATTTGTATTTTTATCCCAAACATTAAAATGTTCTGTAACCAGGTAATTTTCTTTTCCCTTCTCTCCACCTGATTAGGCTGATGAACAAAATCATGCCCAACTGTGTGAAGAAAATCAACCGCTCAGCTTTAAACTGGCATCAGGTAAAATATTACACCAGTGCCTTTGATAGTTGGAGGACAAAGTGATCCAAAAATTTTTGATAACATGCTTCCTGGAAATTTCCAGCCTCTTTAGATATTAAGGAAATTTGGGTAGGGTTAGTGTTATAGAAAGGACATATGGACATCAGAACAGAGGAGCTAGAGGGGTCTGGGTATAAATGGGATGAGGTCTGAAGGGAAATCTTTGTTCTAATGAGGTGTTGGTTAAGGCGTGTAACCTCCATTGAGGGATAGAATACCTTTTAAATGGAGTTTGCAAAGGAGTTTATAATGAAGTTTATTGTTCAGGACTGAACAATAAACCAGGAAAGCAAGACCTGAGGCTAGAACATGAAAAATGCATTCAAGTTCTTTCATGTTAAAAATTTATCTGTCCTTGTTTTGAACAGCTGGAGAATTTGTCCAATTTTATCAAAGCAATGCAGAATTATGGTATCAAGCCACACGACACATTTGAGGCAAATGACCTTTTTGAGAATGGGAACATGACCCAGGTACAGACAGCACTGCTAGCCCTAGCAGGGATGGTAAGTACCAGGCTAACACCAGATAAAGGCGATCTTTAAGTTGATGACTGTTTCCACTATGTCACAGCTTTAACATGTTGCGATCCTCAATTCACAGTCTGTGGCCCAGAAGATCTGGCAGATTTGACTTTATTTCTCTCATTGTCAGTCCACCTACTTTTAAGTAGTCAATCTTTTAATTCAGTTCCTCCCTCTCGCTCTCCTTATCCTGTCCTCTCCCTCTTCATTCTCTCCTACCTTAATCTCAACAACATTGGGCTATGTAAACAGAGTTAATATAATTGCAGGAATCTTGGTGTAGAGAAGAATTGAAGACTGCCCTGGAAGGTTACTTCATAAATTTTGTCTATCTTGTGCATTGTTTTCATCTTCAGTTTTCTCCATGTGATGCTGACTTAGTTCTTGTGATGGTTTCCACACATGTTGAATCCACTTGTCCTTCATAAGATTATTGATTTGGCTGTTGTGACCTTCTAAATAGTCAATCTTGCCCCTCACTGTTCATTTTACTCGCACAGACCAAGGTAAGAACTCGGTAGCGTCATTTAAAATTGGGATCTGCATCTTCCAATTGAGATACTGGGGAAGAACATTGTTAATAGAAGTTTTTAGTACACAGTTTATCCCTGGAAATTGAAACATCAGAGTTCAGAAGCTGTCATATGAAGGGCACGTTCAGTTACAGATGATTCTTTTGGTTGGCGTGGAGATTTCTATCACCAGTAGGGGTGCAATTTAATTTCAACCATACGGTGAGAGGTGAATCTGTAATGTAAAATGGTAGGGTTATGCTACGTGAGTGTGGAGCTTATTTAGATGTGGAATGGGCCAAATGGCTGTAATGTTTACTTGGAGTTTTTAAAAACCTATTCAATTCCCTATCATCCTAGGCAAAAACAAAGGGGGTGAATGCTGGAGTTGATATTGGTGTCAAATATGCCGACAAGCAACAGCGCTGTTTTGACCAAGAAACCTTGAATGCTGGACAATGTGTCATTGGACTTCAGGTATTCATATTTGACTTTTAAGCTCAGATTCCTGATGGCAGTATATATCTGAACCATACCAAGCTGTAAGGCCTCTGGTTGTCCTGGTAGATCTCAGCATGACCCTAGGGCACTGAGAACAGAGGATTTCAGGATATGCTCTTGCTCCCAGTTGCTGTTCAGTAATCCCTGCTGGAAAATTCGCACGCAGGAACATTGGGTGAGGATAGGCTTGGACTTTGGTCATGATGCTTTTGAAGTTGAAAACCTTGACACCTGCCACCAAGGATTGCATGTGGATGATGGCCACGGGCTGGGGAAGTGGAGGAAACTTGATCCGTCCAGAACCAGAGCCTTCAGTGGAAAGAAAATTTTGAAGTGTGTTGCAAGATTTTGTAAATGGTCTCTATCTCTGCTTAGCTGTCTCTAAATCTAGACACTGTGTATTCATTATTTTTTGTCTCTGTTCCTCAGATGGGGACTAATAAATGTGCCAGCCAGACTGGAATGAGTGCCTACGGTACCAGGCGACACCTTTATGATCCACGGTCCCAAATCCCTGCTTCCATGGACCAGTCTACTATTAGTTTACAGATGGGGACCAACAAAGGAGCAAGTCAGGTTTGTCATTTGTTTGTTTCTACTGTCAAGGCCACATTTTAATTTAACCATCAAAACGAGAGCCAAATTACAATTTTCACTGTTAATGTGTGCACAGATCAGTCCTATAAAGTTGCATGTAGTTCAGGGATTGCATTTCTACTTGAATCAGAAGGTTGTTAAGCCACTTCAGAGCCTTTTGCATCGAATCTAGGCTGACACTGCATTGCAGTGTAGGAGTGCTGAACTGTGGGATGTCAGCTTTCAGATGAAACTTCTGATCGAAGCCCCATTCTTCCTCCCTAAACATAAACCACATGTCAGTATTCAGAGATGGGAATTGCTCATGTTTTCTAGATAGTGATGCTAATTTAAGGTTAAAAACTAAAATAGATGCCCTTCCTTGCTGTTTCGTAACTGTTATTTAAGAGGGTGGATGGTGGCTCAGTGGTTAGCATTGCTGCCTCGCAGCACCGAGGACCCGGGTTCAATTCCAACCTTGGGCAACTCTGTGTGGAGTTTGCATGTTCTCCCTGTGTTATGCGTGGGTTTCCTCTGGGTGCTCCAGTTTCCTCCCACAGTCCCCACAGCAAAAATGCAAATCTTTTTTCTCCTGCATGTCCTGAATCTTTCTTTCCTTCTTTCCTTCTTTCCTTCTTTCCTTCTTTCCTTCTTTC